AATCCAACGGGGAGGAAAAGCCATGGAGATCCTGCTGGAGGAGGGGCTCCAAACCCATCCCAGGGTGCTCTGAGGAGGAAAGACCCACCCTGTGCCGGGAAGGCGGCCGGAGATCCAGCCAGAGCTCTGAGCTGGTGGTCCATGAGCAGCTTCAGGATGGGGAGAAGCCCTACAAGTGCTTGGAGTGTGGGAAGAGCTTCAGCCAGAGCAACAGCCTGATTCGCCACCAGATGATCCACACTGGGGAATGGCCCTACGAGTGTGGGCAATGTGGGAAGGGCTTCAGCTGCAACTCCCAACTCATCATCCACCAGCGCATCCACACTGGGGAGAGGCCCTAGGAGTGTTCCAAGTGTGGGAAGAGGTTTCAGAGGAGCTCCAATCTCCTCAGGCACCAGCGGATTCACACGGATGAGAGGCCCTTCCGCTGCCCTGACTGTGGGGAGGGCTTCAAGCGAAACTCCCACCTCATCACCCACCGGCGCATCCACACTGGGGAGAGACCCTATGAGTGTGGGGAATGTGGGAAGAGCTTCAGCCACAACTACAGCCTGATCTGCCACCAGAGGACCCACACTGGGGAACGGCCCTATGAGTGTGGGGAGTGTGGGATGACCTTCAGCCAGAGGTCCCAGCTGACCATCCACCAGGTGATCCACACTGGGGAGAGGCCCTATGAGTGTCCTGAGTGTGGGAAGAGGTTTCAGAGCAGCTCCCATCTCCTCCAGCACCAGCGAATTCACACGGATGAGAGGCCCTTCCGCTGCCCTGACTGCAGGAAGGGCTTCAAGCACAACTCCAACCTCATCAAGCACCGGCGCATCCACACCGGGGAGAGGCCCTACGAGTGTCCCCAGTGTGGGAAGAGCTTCACCCAGAGCTCTCACTTGACCAAACACCAACGGAGGCACCGGTAAGGGAAGCCCTGTGAGTGCCCCAAGTGCAAGAAGAGCTTCGTGTGCTGCTCCAGCTCCATCTCCCATCAGAGGACCCATGTTGGGCAGAGCCCTGATGACCCACGTTCCCAGTGATCTGTGTTGGGAACACACTGGGGTGATGATCATTTTATTTTGGTTTCAATTATCTTTGGATTTATCTTCATCTATTTAAAACAGAGAAATAGTGGTAAAAATCAACAAATTCATCAAAGGCATCTAAAACCTCACATTTTACTAGTGCTTCAAGGGAATCTGGGAGATACTTGGGGTATTTGGGGGTTGTGGCATTATTTGGTAGAGTTGTCTCCATTTCTTGGCACTCAAAGAGACGAGAGGGTTTGATCTGTCACCTCAAAACCACTCAATGCCACTGAATTCTACTCAGTCCCTCTCCAAAATTATTCAATTCCACAGTCCCTCAGGGTGTGATGTCTTAAGTTTTAGCTTTCATATTTTTCATATTCTGCGCTGCCTAGGTTTGTAGTTTTGAACTTCGTATTAAGTGTTAGTGAGCTCTCTTCACAGAGTAGGTAGACAAAACAATTCCTTTTCTAGCTTGATACCAAGGACGATTGTTACAAGTTTCAGGCCCAAAAGCATGAAGAAGGGTGGACTGAAGAGAGAAAACAAGAAAGATGGGACTTCATCATCTGAAGCTGTCACTGCACAATGAGCCCCAATATCCAGATGGACCTAAACTTCTAAAAATGTATGACCTCATGATGAGTTGTCCATTTTTGTGACCATTTTTGGTCAGTCCTGGGTGTAGCTCTGGCCAGGTTCTTGTACTGCCCAAGGTGTATCCTTTAAGGCCTTTTAATAAACTTTATTCTTAACTCTGTGCAGCCTCTGTTCTAGGTCAGCCTTCTGAAGGCATCAGGTGGAATGGGGTTGGAAGGGGATTGGGTGAAGTGGGATGGAAATCAGGAGGGGTGAGATGGGCATTGGGTGGGGCAGGATGGGTGGGATGGGGATTGGTGTAACTTTTCTCTTTTTGCTTCTTTTGGGCTGAATTTTTTGTGGATATAACTTTTCTCTAGTCTCTCAGCCTCCTTTGGGCTGAATTCCTCTGGAATCCTCCCTCATGGGGAGTCCCACTTATCTCAGTCCTTAACATTCGAAGAAAACTCCCGGGCTCATTAGATTCTGGTTTCTGGTGTTTATTGAAGGATCCTTACAAAAACCTGGCAGGTCTATCCAGACGAGCTGCACAAGCTTAAATCACCACAGCCTGGCTCATCTCGTTCTAATGATACAAAATGGCCCCGAACCACGCGGTCTTTTCACCTTTATACCAGTTTTTACCCTATTAACTACAGACACGTGTATTGTTATTATATCTCAACAAATCGGTTTTCTAGATCTACTCATGTAATTAAACGTGCGACTAACACTAAACCAATCATTCTTTGTGCTTCTAAAAACTGCAGAAGCATGGAGAAGAAGGAAGAAGAAGGATTAAAAACTACACCTTTTTTCTTTCATCTTTACTCCACGTGTGAAACCCTCTAAAAATCTATATTTTCACCTCAGTGTTAAATGAAACATTTTTCTACTTTCTATTATATTTCTTACAAACTCTGGCTTGCTCAGGGATATATGGAAGCCTTTCTGTCAATATTATATATGATTCATATATTCTTTAAATAATTGAATAGACAGAGAAATGTCCCTGCATTTCTAGACTCCAACACGTTTCCTCAAAATCCCACAAAATTCCACAAAAATCCCACAAAATTCCATAAACATCCCACAAAATTCCCTAAATCTTCTCAAAACCCTACCATATTCCAGAAACATCCCACCAGATCTCTACAAAATTCCACAATATCAAGAAAAATCCGTCAAAATTTTTCAAGTCTCCACAAAATATCATAAAACTCTAAAAAAATCCCACCAAAATGCAAAAATGTTCTCAAAACCCCACCAAATTCCAGAAACATCCCACAATATCCCCACACATTTCCACAAAATCTAAGAAAATACCTCAAAATCCTTCATGTCTCCTCAAAATCCCACAAAATAACAGAAAATTCCACAACAGTAAAAAAAAAAATCCCACAAAATTCCAGAAACATCCTACCAAATCTCCACAAAATTCCACAAAAATCTAAGAAAAATTCCTCACAATTCTTCGGGTCTCCTCAAAATCCCACCAAATTCCAGAAAAAAACTCCAACACAATTGCAGAAAGATTCTCAAAACCCTACCAAATTCCAGAAATATCCCACAATATCCCCACAAATTTCCACAAAATCTAAGAAAATACCTCAAAATTTTTCATGTCTCCTCAAAATCTTTGAAGATTCCACAGAACTGCCACAAAATCTCCTCAATATCCTACAAAATTCAAGAAAAATCCCACAAAATGGCAGAAAAATCCCACACAATTCCCTAAATGTTCTCAAAACCTCACCAAATCTCCAGAAACATCCCACAATACCCCCACAAAATTCCACAAAATCTAAGAAAATACCTCAAAACCCTTCATGTCTCCTCAAAATCCCTCAAAATACCAGAAAATTCTACAACAGTACAAAGCAATCCCACAAAATTCCAGAAACATCCTACCAAATGTCCAGAAAATTCCACAAAATCTAAGAAAAATCCCTCACAATTCTTCAAGTCTCTTCAAAATCCATCAAGATTCTACAAAAATCCCACAAAATTCAAGAAAAATCTGACAAAATTGCAGAAAAATCCCATACAATTCCCTAAATGTTCTCAAAACCCTACCAAATTCCAGAAACATCCCACAATATCCCCACACATTTCCACAAAATCTAAGAAAATACCTCAAAATCCTTCATGTCTCCTCAAAATCCCACAAAATAACAGAAAATTCCACAACAGTACAAAAAAATCCCACAAAATTCCAGAAACATCCTACCAAATCACAACAAAATTCCACAAAAATCTAAGAAAAATCTCCTACAATTCTTCAAGTCTCTTCAAAATCCCTCAAGATTCTATGAAAATCCCACAAAATCACCCCAATATCCTACAAAATTCAAGAAAAATCCCACCAAATTGCAGAAAAATCCCATACAATTCCCTAAATGTTTTGAAAACCCCACCAAATTCCAGAAACATCCCACAATATCCCCACTAATTTCCACAAAATCTAAGAAAACACCTCAAAATCCTTCATGTCTCCAGAAAATCCCTTAAATTTCCACAAAACTCCTACAAAATCTCCACAATATCCTGCAAAATTCAAAAATATCTCACAAAATTCATTAAATGTTCTCAAACCCCCACCAAATTCCAGAAACATCCCACAATATCCCCACAAAATCAAAAAAAATACCTCAAAATACTTCATGTCCCCTCAAAATCCCAAAAAATACCAGAAAATTCCACAACAGTACAAAAAAATTCCACAAAATTCCAGAAACATCCTACCAAATCTCCACAAAATCTAAGAAAAATCCCTCACAATTATTCAAGTCTCCGCAAAATCACACCAAATTCCAGAAAAAAATCTAAAAAAATTCCCTACATCTTCCCAAAACCCTACCAAATTCCAGAAATATCCCACAAAATCTCACAAAATTCCACAAAATCTAAGAAAAATCCCTCACAATTCTTCAAGTCTCTTCAATATCCCTCAAGATTCTACAAACATCCCACAAAATCACCCCAATATCCTACAAAATTCAAGAAAAATCCCAAGAAATTGCAGAAAAATCCCATACAATTCCCTAAATGTTCTCAAAAGCCCAACAAATCTCCAGAAACATCCCACAGAATCCCCACAAATTTCCACAAAATCTAAGAAAACTCTCTCACAATTCTTCAAGTCGCTACAAAATCCCCCAAGATTCTACAAAAATCCCACAAATCACCCCAAAGTCCTACAAAATTCGAGAAGAATCCCACCAAATCGCAGAAAAATCCCATACAATTCCCTAAATGTTCTCAAACCCCCACCAAATTCCAGAAAAATCCCACAATATCCCCACACATTTCCACAAATTCTAAGAAAATACCTCAAAATTCTTCATGTCTCCTCAAAATCCTACAAAATAACAGAAAATTCCACAACAGTACAAAAAAATCCCACAAAATTCCAGAAACATCTACGAAATCTCCACAAAATTCCACAAAATATAAGAAAAATCCTCCACAATTCTTCAAGTCTCCTCAAAATCCAACCAAATTCCAGAAAAAACTCCAACACAATTGCAGAAAGATTCTCAAAACCCTACCAAATTCCAGTAACATCCCACAATATCCCCACTAATTTCCACAAAATCTAAGAAAACACCTCAAAATCCTTCATGTCTCCAGAAAATCCCTTAAATTTCCACAAAACTCCTACAAAATCTCCACAATATCCTGCAAAATTCAAGAAAAATCCCACAAAATTCATTAAATGTTCTCAAACCCCCACCAAATTCCAGAAACATCCCACAATATCCCCACAAAATCAAAAAAAATACCTCAAAATACTTCATGTCTCCTCAAAATCCCACAAAATAACAGAAAATTCCACAACAGTAAAAAAAAAATCCCACAAAATTCCAGAAACATCCTACCAAATCTCCACAAAATCTAAGAAAAATCCCTCACAATTATTCAAGTCTCCGCAAAATCACACCAAATTCCAGAAAAAAATCTAAAAAAATTCCCTACATCTTCCCAAAACCCTACCAAATTCCAGAAATATCCCACAAAATCTCACAAAATTCCACAAAATCTAAGAAAAATCCACCTCAAAATCCTTCATGTCTCCTCAAAATCTCTCAGGATTCCACAAAACTCCCACAAAATCTCCTAAATATCCTACAAAAATTCAAGAAAAATCCCAAAAAATCGCAGAAAAATCCCACACAATTCCCTAAATGTTCCCAAACCCCACCAAATTCCAGAAACATCCTACCAAATCTCCACAAAATTCCACAAAAATCTAAGAAAAATCCCTCACAATTCTTTGGGTCTCCTCAAAATCCCACCAAAATCTAGAAAAAAACTCCAACACAATTGCAGAAAGATTCTCAAAACCCTACCAAATTCCAGAAATATCCCACAATATCCACACTAATTTCCACAAAATCTAAGAAAACACCTCAAAACCCTTCATGTCTCCAGAAAATCCCTTAAATTTCCACAAAACTCCTACAAAATCACCACAATATCCTGCAAAATTCAAGAAAAATACTACAAAATTCATTAAACGTTCTCAAAACCCCACCAAATTCCAGAAACAGCCCACAATATCCACAAAATTCCACAAAATCTAAGAAAAATCCCTAACAATTCTTCAAGTCTCCTCAAAATCACACCAAGTTCCCAGAAAAAACTCCAACAAAATTGCAGAAAGCTTCTTAAAAACCTACCCAATTCCAGAAACATCCCACAAAATCCCCACACATTTCCACAAAACCAAAGAAACCACAACATCCTTCATGTCTCCTCAAAATCTTTCAAAATTCCACAAAACTCCCACAAAATCTCCTCAATATGCTACAAAATTCAAGAAAAATCCCACCAAATTGCAGAAAAATCCCACACAATTCCCTAAATGTTCTCAAAACCCCAGCAAA